ATTGTCTGCGCCAGACAAAATGTCATCAACATATGTATTTTTACGAATAACAGTAGAACCTAATGGCTGCGTTTCACTGTGTTCTTCAGCTAGCTTGTTTAGACACCGTATTGCCAAATAAGGAGCGCATGCTAAACCGTACGTTACCGTTGATAATTGGTATATTTGAATTGGATTTGATGGATCTTCTCTCCAAAGTATTCTTTGATAACTACAGTCATCAGGATGTACCCTTATCTGGCGGTACATCTTCTCTAGATCGCAAGAAAATACCATTGCATAACATCTCCAAAGAAGAATAATATCCAACAGTTCTGTTTGAAGCTTTGGACCAGTATAAAGGCAATCATTCAATGAGATGTTATTGGAAGTTTTTTGTGATCCATTAAAAACAACTCTTAATTTAGTCGTTGTACTGCTTTCACGAATCACTCCATGATGAGGAAGATAATAAGTGGAGTAAATCGACGGTAATGGAATGAGAATCATGTGATCGAGTTTGAGATATTCAGACATGAATTTTATATATTCGGTTTTGAAATTGAGATTTTTTGCGAAGCGCATTTCTAAGTGATTAAACATACGGAGAGCTGGCTGATATGAGCTTCCTAATTCTTTAGGAGATTTCTTAAAAGGAAGACGAACCATGAATTGACCATTTGACAGACGGATATGAGTTTCATTGAAATGATCTTCACATGCTCGATCTTCAGCAGAAATACATGGAGAATTAATTGTATCGGTTTCTTGTTTCCAAAAACTTTTCATCAATTCGAGAAATTCATGATCAATAGAACACTGGAAACCATACGGAAAATTACTGACATTGGGTTGATTTGAAAGTGTTCCTGATATAATCCAACCAAAGCTTGTTTGCTGAGCTACTAATGAACCATCGTCGCTTTTCAAAATACCGCTTTCAAGGATTTTTGAATAAATACTGACTCCCAATATAATTTCAATTCGAGTTGGTGAATTGAATTCAGGATCGGCCAAAGTGATTGAGTTGAAGTTAAATCCGAGATTGATAAAACTTTTTTGAGGTAGATATGAAGTAAGTTTAGGCAAGATCAATGCTTCTTCTTAGAACTTAATTTGATCATTCATTCTAGAGACTAAATTCATTATAACTGACCCGTGAGATATGCTCGTACGTTGCGATCCGACTCCAGAAATAGGTACTGTTACAGATTTTCGAGGTAAATTTAATCTTTGAACTAACTTTTCTGATATAAATGAAACTTCGGATCCTTGATCTATCAATGCTTTGACAATTATAGTTTCGCCTCGACTGGAAATAATCCCGACTAAAGCAGTGGCCAACAATACCGGAGTGTTGACATGAATGACTTTTGAATGATTTCATTGGAATTTTGTATGAGTTGTGTGCTTGAGTTAGAATGTCGAGATTGAGCGATATTTGAATTTAATGGCTTAGCATCGTGCAAGGTAGTGTGATGATTTTTGTGACATATTTTACATCTCTTAGTAATACGACAATTTTTTCGTAAATGAGGGCCGAGACAATTAAAACAAAGATGTTTTGATATTACTAGTTCGGATCTTTGATTGGGAGTTTTAGAAAGATATTGTGGGCACATGGCGAGATAGTGATTTAATTGACAAAGATTGCATATTAAATTAGATGGTGAGGTGTTATGTGATTTAATAATCATCGCCTTTTGTGTTGGATATGTTTGAGATGGTTTCCGGTTGTATGATAATTTTTCAATAGCTTCCAAAGATCTTAAGCGACTATAGAGAAAATCTTCAATTTTTTTGTACGTAGGAGGATCAGTAAGACTTCCAATCGTCTTTTCCCACTCTTTAATAGTCTCTGGATCTAATTTTCTAACAAGAAGGTAGACTAAGATAAGATCCCAATGTTGGATAGGACATTTTAAAGATTCGAGAGCTCCCAGAGCCTCCTTCACTTCTCCCAAAAGGCGTTTCAGCTCGTAAGATGATTCATTTTTTATGCCTTTCGCTGAAAATATAACTGACAACTGCGAGTCGACAAGCAATCGTCGATTCTCGTATCGCTCGACCAACATTTTCCATGCGCGATCTCGGTTATCACTCGTAATTAACAGATTTTTTAAAAGTTGAGCTGGCTCACCAATCAAACACATTTTTAAGTACTGGAGTTTTTCAACATCCGAAAGATCGTTATTATCATTAACCATCGAAGAGAAAAGGTCGCGAAATTGCGTCCAATTTCTATAATTGCCATCAAATGTAGGAAGATTAATCTGCGGAAGATGGCGTATTCGTGATGGCGTTACTTCCTGAATTACGTCTTTCGCGGAAGAGGCCGGTGCATCGCTAGATTCCAATAAATCAATCATAAAAGTTTTAGCGTCAAGATATGTATCTTCGCATAAAGAAAATGTATCTTCCTTAAAGTAAATTGTTTCAGCAAAATCTATTTTATACGGTGACAATTGACGATGATTGTCATTAAACTCGTTCCAATTAACTTCGAGTCTTTCTAAACGTGTCTTAATCGCTCCGCGCGTTCGTTTCGTAATAGCGAGTTTTTTGAAATTGTCAATTGTTCGCGAAATTAACCCTTGCAAATCATTTTGTCTTTCGAAAACAGTATTAAAATCCGGTTTACCTGATTTCGACATCTTGAAACGTTACAAAATCCCGTCAAAATGCAATAAGAAAATAGACTCAACGTGTCCGTCGAATAGGAAAATCACAGAAATGTTCACTTTTATTGCCAAATTTTCGATTAAAACTATTAAACAACGCGGAAAATCCGGCTCGAAGGACCAAAAATAATGTTTTGTACCGAAATAAACTTACTTGAGAATGAAGAACTTTTCGAACTGAATGATAAACACTTACTTGAATTAAACTGAACTTTATTTTACTATTTGGAGTTCATTAATAACATTTAAGAAATAATGCTAGAGAAGAAGATTACGAATGAAGTTTTAACACGACTTGGTTTTACAATACAAAATGTTCATCTTTTTCTTTTTAACAAAACCCGAAAATTCTTGAACTTGTACACAAAAAAGAAACTCGTCTAGAGAGGGAACACAATACAAGAAAACTGAATATGAATTACAAAATATAAAGACAGAATAAACAAATCGGTTCTTTTAATAAAGATAGACTTAAAATTAACAGGAACACTAGTGAAGAAATTGTCTATCGTGAGATTGCGACCTGAATTATGAATGCCACGCACAAGAGTTTGTACTACTTCAAGCCCCAGGTTTTTATGTGGAGGTTCCCCGGGCTGGTGACCAACATTAACTAAACTATCCAAAGCATAGCCAGACGTAGATTCACACATCCAAAATATTTTAAGTCCATATTTTGCCGGTTTACTTGGCATATATTGAACGAATGTGCATCTACCTCTAAACCCAACGAGTTGTTCATCAATAGTTATATTAGTATCAGGTATGACGCAGGTTTTGCATTGCTGAATGAATAAATCCCAAATGTAGGACATCATTGCTAACTTATCGGTTTCCAAACGCGCATTCCGGGTTCTCTTGTCGTCAAATCTGACGAATGTTCGTATTTCTTCAAAGCGAAATATGGACATTGTGTCTCGCTATACAGGATTGGCAAATTCATCACAAAATAATTCTCTCGCAATAACATCCTAGCTTCTGTCAACTCCCGCATGAATAAATACACCACAGAATGCAAGAAATTTATCAATAGTTACATCTTTCCACGGTTTTCCTTTTGCTCCATAAACACGTTTGCCCTCTAAATTAGTACAGTTCACAATTTCTTGTACAATAACTGGAGTTATAAATAACTGAAACGCTTCTTTTGGTGTTACAGCTATATGTTTCCTTGCTAGTCCTGACGTATGCCGAATAATGTACCAGTAATGTACCATGTATGTATCAGTAACATACCAGACCACTTGGAGCAGTGTAACCGCTCGTTGAAGGCTTACCAATATCATCATCATCCTCTGAATTATCGTCACCATGATCAGAACTGGATCCAGAATACTCGTCAGGAACCAATTCGAAATTTCTATCTTCTGTGTCATCATTTTCTGCTTCTGACACATCACTTTCTTCAGAAGGCTTAAAACAGCGATAGAAGATAATAAACTGCAATGAGACAGGAGTACCCAACTCTTTCCCGTATAACCACAGGAATAACTCACTATTTAGTATAACATGTGTTTATGATCGGCACGTCATCGCCGGCGCCGCGGCGCCGAACGCCAACATACATCCAACATTACATAAAATTAAAAATGATCTGATTTGCGCCTCATCCACTGAATAGACAATCTCCATACGTGTTACGAGTTTTGACAGCTAAAGCCCATCCTTAAGAAATAGAATCAGAAATGAGGATATCCGACAGAGAACTGGCGTCATGAACATAACAGTCTGAGTTATGGAACTAAAGTGGCAATGTCCAAGCTAGATGGACAATATTTTATTTTATAACTTAGGACAAAATAATTTAAAGGTAAAAAAAATGCAGGTTAGATTTTATCGTATACAGTTTTATTATTTGTATGTAATTCGTTTTGTTATTATTACACAGAATAGTTTTTTTTAACAAAAAAATCAATTCCGGGAATTAGTTTTTTATTTTATTTATAGTTTTTATTTTTTTACTGATTTTGTTTTGGTTCTTGTTGACAATTAAGCTAAATAACATCCATACATACAATATACATACATTTAGATTAATTTAAATGTGCTCACAACAAAAAAAGCAATAAATCAGAAAAGATGATTTTTGGATGGATTTTTTAAAATTTTCAAAACATTGTCTTAAACATTTAAGGAATGTTAATTACACATTTTATTTTTACATTAAGATTATTTTAAGTTAATTATTAATTTACGGTTCCTATTATTGGTAACTAAAAACATTTCTATATTTACATCAATATTTACAACAAAATAAAAACAGTCTTTAAAATAAAAAATAAGTACATTACAAAAAGGTTAGTTATTTAAAATTAAATTGTACTATTCGATTTGTTTGAAATCAATTTATTTAGTATTGCATACTATACGTATTTTTTATTTATCTCAAATTGATTAAAAATTAATGATGAATTGCTATTACGTTTCTGTATCTGATAAATCATCTTTGAGCCATTGAGGAACGTTTCTAACGCCGATACGTTTTAATAATTTAACTAAAGCTGTATTATGGCTTAGATAAAATCTTTGGAGAAATTTTGCAGATCGCTCCTCCATTAACGGATACTGGCGACCCTTATTCTTACCTAAACATTTTGTTTTATCGCCGTTTACAATTTGGCAGAAAAAACCTTTCGTTGAGTCAAATCTCAAATGCGAAGTGTAATTAAAAATTGTTCCAACCTTTAAAAATTTTTGCATCTCGTCCATTACTTCGACTGGATTCGTCTTCAACATATCTCCATTGATAATCAACAATTGTGATGCTGAAAAATACGACAACCACCGTTCCAAATGCTGAGCGTATTTCCCTGGAACCAAACAGCGATTCCTCAAATCACGTAAAGGTTTCGGTGCCGTATCACCAGCCGTTATTACGTCGTGAAAACTATAGTTATTCGCTATTAAATCGCCGTGTGCTTTTGTATGTTGGTACCAACTGTAAGCTCTTTTTGCTGGCGATATCAAAATCGTAACCAATTTTGCGGTTTGTAACAAAGCGTGAACGCGTTTTGGAACGTTTTCTCCATCAAAGTATGTAGCGCTTTTTTCAAAATAAATCGACGTAACATTTGGCTCAATCGGAAAGAAGTTCATGTACCAGTCTAATCCTTTGTAGTAATTGTTCCCATTGAAAAATTGTATTTCTTCGAACGTTTCTTTACTAGGCAAACTACTTTTTATAGTCGGATGTAATGATAGGAAGGTGTACAAAGCAGTTGTACCCGTTTTTTGTGGACCAATGACCAAAAAATTTGGTAGCGATTCGCACGACTTATTTTTCGACCAAATTTTTTGATGTCGGACGTCTTCACAAGGATTCTAAAAAACATCAAAATATTAATTGATGGTTATCTTCTTACTTGTTTTTAAAATTTTAATTCAATAATATATAAATAATAAAATGTTATGAGTGAATTTCATCTAATCTCTATAATCTCTATCATTTTCCGAAGATCTTCAATAATTTTCAAGGTTTAAAAACAGGATTCTAGTATCAAGTCGCCAACCATGCAACCACACACTTAAGATCAAGTGAAGGGGAAATCTGGAACGTTCTCATCATTACTTTCTATTTCCTTACCAACTTATAGAACTGTAAAATAACAATTGTCGTTTATTGAAGTCATCTACTAAGGTTGCTAATAGTATTGTGACTTTGAAAGGCGTGTTACCCTTATTAAACGTTAGTAGTTCATGAATTACTTCAGATATTCATTTGAGCAAACAGAAAAACCTAAACAGCGGACTCTCGTGCGGCTCTGTTTATACACCCATACTTTCTAACTTATACATACATATCGGATGCACCAATCACAAGAATTGAGACTACTAAAGACATTTTCTCTAATGACCTGTCATAAGGGTCATACTTTTATAAGCGAAGACTAACACAAAACCTAAAAAAGACATAGAAGGGAGCACTGAAAATTTGTTGGAGGGAGCTGCGCAAGTTGAATATTTACAATAAAAAAACCCTGCCTACCGACGAGTTTGCAAGATGTTGAAGCTTTGAATGGGTACTTTTCTTCGACTTCGCGGCGGTCTGCGGAGGTCGACCCGGACGTGCACAACTTTTATGCTAATAATGTCAGACAGTTTTACGATAACTGTTTCAGTTTGAATTTAATTTTGATTTGTTATTACTTTATTTTTCGGGTATGGGATTTCCAGGAAGACCAGGACGCCATAAATTGGCTCACTGATGAAAATACCCTTTGGCAAACTCTATACTTAGGTATTTTATAGTAGCAATGTATTACTTACATTGCAGTATTTTTTTTGCCAATAAAATTATTATTATTATTATGCAAAATAATAAAGGTCCTAAAATATTTCATTTATATTGTACCAATTGAAGAGTTCTTTGACACAATAGATGAGCAGCATAAAGCGACCGGGCATGGCGGAAGGGATAAAATGTTGCATAATTTAAAAAAGATCCAACATTCCAAGACTGGCAGTTGAATTGTATGCCGAGTTATATAAAATTTGCAATTCGAAGAAAACACAAAAACATGCCGGCTTGGTAGTAAGGTCTATAACATCCAAAGACTTTAACGTTAGAGGGCAAGTCGATTTAATAGACTTACAAATCTTACAATCATGTGCTGATGGTAAGTACAAGGTTATTAAATTATCAGCACCACTCTACCAAGTTTCTGTACTTACGGCCATTACAAACGAAAAGGGCCGCAGAAGTGGCTATTGAATTGCCAAAAATTTTCCTTGAACAAGGTGCTCCAGTTATCCTGCAGCGCGATAATGGTGGTGAGTTTATGGCTGAAATCATTAAAAAATTGATTTTGTTGTGGCCAGACTGTAAAATGGTACTCGGTCGCCCAAGGCACCCCCAGAGTCATGGTTCCGTGGAGAGATCAAACCAAGACGTGCTGAGGATGTGGATGGAAGAAAAGTAAACTTCACGTTGGGCTGTAGAATGCTACTTTGTGCAATAGCAAAAAAATATATCATCAATATATAAAAGCTTGTACGGTTCAGATCCCAAAGTTGGTTTAAGATCTACTAACCTTCCCATCGACATCATTAATAACATCAACTGAGGAGGATTTACTGGCAATAAGTGAGACAGCGGATGCACCCACCAGCGATGAAAATTCATTACCAAGAGTAAATGTCGATGATGGAACAGAAAACCACCTTCGAGGAGTAGTTGCAAATAAGAAAACTTTGAATGAATCTGTGTGTTGCCAACTTGACGCAAATATTATGGAAACGGAAGAGGAAGAGACGATATTCTAAGAGACGACATGCCATGTGATGAAAATTTTAACAGCGATACGGACTGTAGTAATAATTGCTGTGTTTGTGGCGTGGAAAGCTCAGACGTATTTCTTTGCAGCAAATGTAGTAAAAAAGTACAAGTACACCAGCAATAAAGTTACTTGCAGTCACTGCGCGAATGAGGAAAGCAAATAGAAAGATGTCTTATGAAGGTCAAGTGAAAGCCGCGGAGTTAATGAAGAAGAAGAGTAGATTCTTACATAGATCTTTTTGATGATATGGAAATAGGAAAATACGTAACTGATGCGGTTCCAAAATTTGATAGAGGGCCATTGGACAAAAAGAATGTAGAAGGTAATAGTAGTTTCTTTTCGGTGAGAAAATTCTTTAATGTTTCATTTTTTTGCAAGTGTTATAACAGAATCAGCGAATGTCTATAAAATTGCTACTAAAGCAGGGATTTTAAAAAATTGGTCAATATTCTTTGAATATAAGGATGTTCCGCATGAATGCTTTATTTCTTTAAGAGAGGCCTGCACTTCACAGTCACTGTTTTCTAGGCAAGGGATATCAAAATGCCAGTGCCAGCCTTCGAAGTTTCAGTGCAGTACAAAAAGGTGTACTTGTTTTAAAAATAAGATGATGTGCAATAGTAGATGCCATTCCAGCAACAATTGTCAAAACAAGTAAATTTTTGTATTTAGTTTTTAAGTCTTCAAGAAAAGTAGGTTGATAACGATAGGGACTACTTTAGTTTGTTGTGAACAGAAAAAATTGTATTTGCCTAAAATATTTTGATATGAATCGCCTCAGATCCCGACAGCCTTCAATCTTGCTGAGGAACTGGCTAGAAACAACTACCACGTCAACTATTTGTGGTAAAAAGACTGCAACGATAAAGAGCTACAAGAAAGAATGCTAAGAACACATTCGGTGCGACACGTGTTTCGTTTTTTACGACATCAATAGGCACCACTATAAAATAAATAACAAGAGAAGAGACTGTTAGAGGTTATAATATTAAAGTTAATTTAAAAACTAATTAATATTTGTTAATATTTACCGTCAGCGGTTCAGGATGTTACAAGAAGTGAGATACAAATTTCAAAAAGCATTACAGGAGAAGAAGTCAATGTCGAAGTTCTCTTTACATAAAAACCCTAGATTATAAATCTTGATAAACTTTGTGATATTCGTTGTATTAGCTAAATGAATGGAAAATAAAGTTTATAAGTTCCATAAAACTTTAAGGCAATTTTTCTCGAAAATTCTATTATGTAACTAATATTAATTTTGGCTGTAACAAATTCAGAAAAAAAATCCTCTTTCATATTCCGTAATAAAAATCGTCATCGTCATAACTCGTTTAAAAATGGCGGAAAAAATGTTAAACCTACATCAAAATATGTAAGTCTTTAGACCCGTTTCAGGAATATTTTCATAAACCGTTTATAATGATTTTATCGCCTATATCCACTACTTTACAGACTTTATTTGAAAAAATAGCGATGATGTCATAACTCGTTTAAAAATGGCGAAAAAAATTTAAAATCTATACCAAAAATTGAAAAAAATTTAAATCGTTAGAACGGTCTCAGCGATTTTTCTATCTGTGATTAATTATACTCTTTATTAAGTAACAAGATATAACATTTATTACAGTACCTGCCAAAATAACACAAGTTTTTTAAATAAACATAGAGTCGCAAATCAAAGTTGAGCCAAAAATTTACATTTTATTTTTTATTTCGGCTATAAGTAACCCGTACAATAGGAATCGTTGGAGCTCCTACTGAGTACAAACTTCTCTTCCTCAAACGTCTTCCCACACGCAGATGCCGACCCTGAAGTAATGGACATAACCCGTCCCTCGGGTAGGGTTCGCAGCATAGCTGGAAACATTTTTACACCTAACAGAGTAAGGTGAGCTAATTCTAATTTCAAGCCCCTAAAATCGCCTGGAGGAGATGGAATTCTGCTTATTTTTCTGCAAAAAGGCTTAGAAGACCTGCTCCCAGTAATAATATACCTATATGTAGCTAGCTACAGCCTTAGCTATATACCCACACTATGGAGGAAAGTAAAGGTGGTTGTATTTGAATTTGTATATTTGTTTTATAAACACGAACAACAAAACTGTTTTACGTTTTTATTCTTTCTTAAACTGTCAACGACACACCCTTTTTTTACAACATACTGCCAACATAAAATAAAAATTGGTTACCAACCCCAAATAAATAATGGTACCAACATGCCCCCTGCGTTGTAACGTTCTCCTTTAAATAAAATAAGAAAAGAAAACAAAACAGTGACAATACAAAAGGCACTACATTAAAATGGTAAGTATACTGAACTAATGTTTTTTGTTTAATCACTTTCACTTTTCAGTTTCAATAGGCAATGGACATATTCTTGTAAAATCACGCTTTCTCTCATCAGTGGAGGTGCGAATCAACGCAACTCGTGAAATTCCGTCCTTTCCAGGGAAAAGCTGAGATATACGACCAAGTTTCCATAACAATGGTGGTAAGTTATCTTCCTTCAATATCACCAAATCCCCCAATTTCAAAGATCCATAATTCACTTTCTATTTCTGTCGTTGATGCAATTCGGAAATGTATTCCTTAGCCCATCTTCTCCAAAAATGTTGTTGGACTTGTTGTAGATATTGGAACTTACTTAGGCGGTTTTCTGTGATATTAATTAAATTCGGGTCTGGTAAGGAAAGAAGAGGACGTCCGATTAGAAAATGGGATGGAGTCAAAGCTGTGAAATCATTAGGATCACACGACATTGGTGCAAGAGGACGCGAGTTTAAAATGGCCTCGATCTGCACAATCACGGTATAAAATTCCTCAAACATCAACAACTTCAGATTCAACACTCTTTTTAAATGGTATTTGGTTGATTTGACGCCAGCTTCCCACAACCCTCCAAAATGTGGTGCATATGTTGGTATAAAATGCCAAACTATACCATCGTTGTGTAATTTATCAGCAATCGTTTGAGTATTATCATTGAGCATTGTTGCTAACTGCTGCAATTCCTTATTTGCACCAACAAAATTTGTTCCATTA